CCCCCCGCGGCCCCTCCCTCCCCTGCCCAGCCCCCGGCCCCGCAGCTCGGCAGCAGCTCACGTTGATAAGAAAGGACTTGCTGTTGAGAAGGTTGGAGAACTGGTAGAGGGCCTGCTCCACGGTGGGCCGCCGCGACTCAGGAATGTCCAGCTTGCCTGTGATCATCACGTCCTTGTCACCGTCCTTGGAAGGCAGGAAGAAGACGCGGTCCGTGTAGGTCTTGTAGTCCAGCACTGGAATGCCGGCCTCATGCACGTCGTTGGTCTGGTCCTCCATCTCGATCATCAGGTCTGCGGATGGGGCTGGTGAGGGCACCGCCCCGCCCGCCGCCCCCTCCCGGCCCGGACGTCCTCCTACCCGTGAACTCCTTCTTGCAGCGGTCGCGCACGCTCTCCTCCAGGCCCTCCAACTGGGACTTGATCTTCTCATACTCACGCTCAGCCTGCTGGCTCTTCCTCCTGGGGGCACAGGGAGGGCCAGGGTCCCGGCTGGGGGCAGGCTCTTGTGGAGGGGGCGGGCTCTCGCGGAGGGGGCAGCGCGGGGACGGGGCTGCGCTACTGTGCGGGGCGGGGCGGGGCGGGGCGGGGCTGACCAGTAGCAGTAGACCGACACGGCAATGATAGCCACCATGGGCACGATGACCAGAGGCAGGATGACGCCGAGCCTGAGCGCCACATCGCTGACACGGGTGTCGTACTCCACGCGGCCCAGCACCCACTCACGTGAGCCGAACTTGACCTGCGCGGAGGGGCCCGTCGGTGAGGGCAGGTGCAGCTTTGACAGGCGCTCCCCTCCCCCACATGCGCCCCCACCCGCAGCCCCCTCCCCCAGCCACCGGCACGTACAATGAACTCGGGCAAGTTGTGGGTGGTGTCCCGCTTCTGCCGCCGCTTGGGCGGGGGCTGCACCTCAGGGGGCTCGCAGTACAGGTCGGTCTCGGTCAGCGTCTTCATGATGCAGCGCTCGGCGCCCACGAAGGCTTCGGCCTCCTGCAGTGTCATCGCCTTGTTCAGGTTGGTGCCCTGGGGGGAGGGGGGAGGTCAGGGGGACCAGCTCAGCCTGGACCTCGTACTCCAAGACCAGAGCCCCCACCAGTCCTCCCCAGGGCAGGACCCTGACCCCCCCACCCAGGCAGGACCCTGACCCTTCCCCCTACGGTCCTCATCCAGGCGGGACCCTGACCCCCCCCACGATCCTCACCCAGGTGGGACCCTGAGGCCCCCACCCAGGCAAGATCCTGACCCCCCCCCCAGGCAGGGCCCTGACCCTTCCCCCTACGGTCCTCATCCAGGTGGGACCCTGACCGCCACCACAGTCCTCACCCAGGTGGGACCCTGAGACCCCCGCCCAGGCAAGATCCTGACCCCCCCCAGGCAGGGCCCTGACCTCCCCCCCAGGCAAGACCTTGATCCCCCGATGCAGGTGAGACCCTGACCCCACCCAGGTGGGTCCCCACGGGCCCCTTTCCGTAGTGTTGTCTGGAGCCACCAGCCTCACCTGGGCATGGATGAGCTTGTTGACCTGCTTCTTGACACCACCTGTGAAGTTCTCGAAGGTGGGGTCAGCCACGTACTCGAAGGCGCCGGCCTCAGTCCGGAGCAGCACGCGGTGCCTGTCCATCTCGACCAGCACCGTGAGGTTATAGGCCTCAGGCTCCTCAGGGAAGGCCGGTGACGAGAAGACCACCCTGCTGTCGCTGTGGTACACGTAGTCGGTGCCCACGACCTGTAGGGAGGCCGGGCCGTCAGGCTGCCCCGCACGTAGCTGATAGCAGCCCCGGCCCCCCAGTGCCGGCACCAAGGCCGATGCACGGACCTTCACGGACTGCAGGGGTCCAGCCTCTCGCCGCCGCCGCCAGGACTGCAGTGGCTCAGCAATGACCACCATGGTGAAACTCTGGACCAGGCTGAAGCCCTGCCCGGTGACACTGATGCTCCTACCGCCACTGCGGGGGGAGGGCAGGGGCTGGAGTCCCGGGTGGTCTGTGTGAGCACGCGCCTCTCGTGGGGGTGTGCCGGGAGCTAGTGACAGAGGCGCTGCCATCCTCGTCCTCGCCACAGGCGAGCAGGGGATGCGGGGCCCGACGGATGCGTCCGCCTGCCCCTGCCCGGCAGGGTTTCAGGAGGAACTGACCCGGGGTGCAGTAGGGATTTCCAGGGCCGCCTCCTGCCACCCCAACCTGCAGCACCACATTCCTGGCAGGCTCAGCCCGGGGAGAAGGGGAGAAGGACGGTAGGTGTGGCTTGGGGGCACGCACCTGACAAAGCTTCGCATCGGCTCAAAGGCCCGCAGCACCGGGTTGTCACGGTAGGTGAACATGATGTCGGGGCTGGGCACGGGTGAGCCCCCGTAGTGCACCACCAGGGGCACCTCGCCCACCTTCCGCTGGGGGCCAGTCACGCACTTGAGTTCTGCCCCAAACTCCTTCCTGGGGTGGGGGTGGGAGTGCATCAGTGTTCCATCACCCTGGGCCCAACCCCGCCCCACATCAGCAGATCAGCTCCCCTGCCCCCTCCAGGGCAGACCAGTGGTCCCCCAGGGCCAGGGCAGACTGGGGCCTCGGCCGGCCCATGGGCAACACCCACACTTCACAGGGGACGTTGTTGAGGGTCACCCGCACGTCCTCCTCGGAGCCTGTGTCCAGGTTGGTACCAGTGATGGTCAGCAAGGTGCCGCCCGCCTGTGGCCCCTGCTTCGGGTCCACTTGGACAGGCTTCGGCTGCTGAGAGAGCAGCAGGCATGTTTGGGTCAGGGATGTAGGGCCTCAGGGTGGTGCTTCACCCCCCCACAGCACCCTGAAGTCAGAACACAGACCAACCCCGACACGCGTGTACACACACACACACACACACACACACACACACACACCACACACGGCTGCTCCCCTCCTCAGGCTGGCAGAACCCCCTGACATGCTGACACATGGCTGCTCCCCCCGCCCAGGCTGGCAGAACCCCCCGACACACAGCTGCTCCCCTCACCAGGCCAACAGAACCCCCTGACACACTGACACACGGCTGCTCCCCTCCTCAGGCCGGCAGAACCCCCCGACATGCTGATACACGGCTGCTCCCCTCCTCAGGCTGGCAGAACCCAGGGGCTGAGCACGTACTTGGTAGGTGAACTGGACGTGGGGCGGCGAGTAACCCAGCTTCCCGCTGACATCCACCTCGACGCCCCCCGTGAAGGGCTCCTCTGAGGCTTCAATCACACATACGATCCTGGGAAGCGACAGGCAGGGCAGGGACACACTCAAGACCACAGCCCCCCGAGGCCCCCACCGTGCCTGGCCGGTGCAGATGGGTGCACAGCCCCCCAGCTCCCCACCACGCTTGGCCCGTCCATGCTGGTGCTGTGGGTATGGTGGAATACGTGCAGGCCGAGGCCACGGCCTCGCCATCTGTCCCATCACCCAGCCTCCAGCAACCCAGGGTGGAGGAGGTGCCCAGGAGGCCCACATGATCCCGTCGGCCGCACGAACCCCAGCGGCTCACCGGGTGGACACGGAGTACCGTTCCGGCTCGAAGGTGCAGTTCCGGCCAGCCACGGTCACTCTCCTAACGTCGTCCGCCTTGATGCCCAAGTTTGACCCGAGGATGGTGATGCGAATGCCCCCTCCCAGCGGGCCCGTCTCGGGCCGGATCTGCAATCAGCAGAGCCTGGCTGACTGTGGCCTGGGCAGGCTGGGGGCGTGTGGGGCAGGGCGGGGGGCTGGGTGGGGGACCCCAGGCCGGGACATGCGCCGGCAGGCTCACCCTGCTGATGACGGGCGGCGGGCACTCGGAGGTGGCGTTGCTGCACAGAGCCTCGTACACGCACTTACTCTGCCCACCACACCACACACACCTATAGGTGGGGTCAGCGGCCAGGCACAGGCTGCAGTCACTGCGGCCGAAGGAGCAGTTGTACAGGGTCACTGGGGAGGGGTGGAGAGAGCGCAAGGGTCAGCAGCGCGCCCCCCTAGCCTGCCCAGGCCCTGCCCACAAGCCGCGCCCCGCCATGCCACGCCCCACTGCACCCACACCTTGGAGCTTGCTGTCAATATTCTTGTTGTAGGACTTGACATACAGATGCAGGGGCAGTGTCTCATTGGCGTCATAGGACAGCTGGGAGGAGGCGGACAGGTAGAGACACGCTGCACTCACAGCCCCATCCATCAGGGCCCACATGACCCCCACCTCGGGAAGCAGACCCAGGCAACAGGCCTCCAGGTGGCTGGATACATTGTATCACCCAGACACACAAACGGTGCTGTGTGACGGACCAGAAGGTGAAGCGGGATGGAGACAGCAGAGGGACTGATCGGGGAGAGGACCGAAGAGGTGGAGACCACGTTGCTGTGCACAGGGGGTGCTCAGGGCTCCCTGGGCAGGGGCCGGGGGGGCCCTCCCTTTCCAGCCCGACCCTCTAAGAGCAGTGAGGAGTCCTGGGAGGTGTACCTTTGGGGTCTGGAAGAAGAAGGTCCCTGTCTCCTGCATGATCACCGGCTTCCTGAACTTGAGTAGGTCACTCCCCACGTCCAGGGAGGTGCTCTGTGGGGACAGTGGCTCAGGAACCCTGCCCGGTCTGCCCACCTCTCTGCCTTGCCCTGTACCCCTCCTGGGACAGACACTTCCCAACTCTGAGCCCCAGCCTGTGTCTCCTGCTGCCTCCAGATGGCCCCACGTGGCACCCTAAGGAACCCTTGGAACATGGCCCACATCTGAGACCATCACCCGGCCCACCCCATGCCCCGTGCCCCACCCCTTGGCTTTGGCTCTTCCCAAACCCCTTCCTGTCTCAGCCCCAGTCTGGCTCCCAGTCCCAGTGCTCGCCAGCCCCCTTCTTGGTCTCTTCATACCCTGTCCCCACGTACATGCCCTCATCCTCCAGCTCCCCTCTGTCCACAATCACCTGAGCACCCCCTCGGTGCCAGGCCCAGGCACCCTGACTTCAGTCTCGAGGAAGGATGACCCCAACTGGCACCCTGCTGGGTCCCGGGGAGCTTGCTCTCTACCCACCTTCACCGTGTCCACGTTCTTGCCCTGAAAGGTCACATCTGTCTCATGGTTCATGGGGATGACCAGGGGGCTGGGGTTCAGGAACTGAGGGCAGTTCTCCTCCTGGGGGACAGGGAGGCTGGTCAGCTGCAGCCAGGTGGCAGTTGAGCAGCCCAGCCACAATGTGGCCCCGCGGCCTCACCATGTGGGCGCGGACGATGCCCTCCTCGGGGTTGGGCGAGGCCTCCCGGCACTCGTGGTAGAGCAGGTCCCACTGGCAGGTCCAGTGGTTGCTGGCGCAGGAGATGCACCTG